AAATATTTGAAAGCCAAGTTATGTATCACTTGCCATAGACTTGTTCTGCCAATGTCGTCAAATTTTCTATCTATTAATTCCGAGAGAATTGTATATAAGGTCACATGTTCCTTGTTGGCCCTCATTCGATAAATGGTATCACGAATTTCAAATTTCTTTCCATCTGGAATATCTTTCGTTTTCAATGATGGGCGAGTTTTGCGGTGATCTTCTTTCGGCAGTTCACTATTGTGATTTTGTAATACTCCTCTTAATTTGGTTTCACTAATTCCTAGAGCATCGCATACGCGTTGTTGTACAGACATCACCGATTTTATAGGAATGCCATTTTTTTTTTCATCCGTAAAATACTTATGTACACTACAAATTAGACTATCTACATCTAACACACGTCTAGGCATTTTTAAAATTTCCACTAAATTTACAATTTACATACAATGTCAACACTTGCAAAGAATCAATTCAACTGCAATATTTGTAACAAATTTAGTACCTACCCTAATGTTATTTTAATTTAAATCTGACCATTAGGGCAGTTTTACCTAATTTCTTGGGAAGAGGCTTATTGGAACTGGTTGTCAATGACTAATTTGCATAATTTTGTTAATCCGAAACCCGCGTAAGTATAGCGATCAGAAACAGGGTTATTCATTATAAATTACTCATCCTTTATACCATAATAATTATGGTATAATAACAAATAATAATATTAATATTAATTATTATTATATTATTTATATTTACTGAATTTTGTTAAAATACCATCAAAAATTCAGTGGCCACATCAGTGGCGAGTATATTTTAATACAATATAAATAAGATTTTTAAATGGGATAGCCTATATATTTTATTCAATTTTAGAAATGTTCTTTTTTGAGTATTTAAACGTCGAATATCTTAGTTTAGGTAAATATTTAACACTTTTTTTCCCACTGTAAACTATTTTGATTATTTTATTACAGTGATGTCACTTTTATCAAACATATAAAGTTGTGATTTTCATAGCTTTTACTTAAATAATGTTGACGTTTCTATGTTCACAGTAAGTTGCCTAATCAAGATATTCGATGTTTAATTACTCGAGAACGGTAGGTATAAGATATTGCATATTTTTGAAATTAGTAAATAAAAATGTTTCAAAATTTTAAAAACATACAGGGCATTCCATGTTTGCTGTATTCCGTGAAATGGTGTCCTGTTTTATACTGAATTTCATTGTCTAAAAAATATTTGACTAATTTCAAATCATAAAACAACCATATTGACTGTTTTGTGATTTGAAACTAGTCAAATATTTGGCCAATTTATATTTTTATTTGATTTTACTTCATTATATTTTTGCATTAATTTCAAACTTGAAATAAAATGCAATTTATTTTATTTTTTTTTTATTACAGAAAATTAACGCTCATCATATAATTTGTCTATTTAAACATGGAAATAGACAAATATGCATTTACATCATTTAAATAATTATTTATAAAACAAACCTATCAAAAATGTTTTTTGTAACAAACTCGGCCTATAGAAGTGCTCAAGAACTTTATAAAAATTTTGCGACTTGTAGTGGCAAATAAGTTTGAAAAAATTGAAGTTGAAGCATCATCCTTTTGGTGTCTTACTGTCAAGGTGAATTTAAGTGTGGATAAAATTTGCCATACACTTATTGAGTCAACTAGTTAGGTTGAGGAACATTTCTTCATTTGATAATTGTTTTATTGATTTATTTGTACAGCACTTGTAGTCATCAAAATCTTATTCATCATCTGGGCGCTGTGATAAATGAATTTAACTTTCGAGCTTAAATTCAACTTACACACGTTTGGAACCTTAAAGATATTGGGGTAAGTTTTCTTGTTTGATGTCAATGGCATTGAATCAATTTTTGATACTGATAGCTGAGGCTCAAATATTTCATCGATCTACAGGGTATTTTGGAGGGCCAACATTTTCTTTACAACAATGATCATTTAAAAACTGAAAACAAAAAGAAATTTAAATAACAAACCAATTATTTTAACACTGAATCAAAAACAAATTTGTAAATATTACCATTGGTGCCAGTGCAAGATGCCTTTTTCTTAAGACACTTATTACAAATTGTTTGGTTATCCTTAATATTATGACCGCATATTTAATATGTGGTATAAATTGCATCATTACCTGTATTGAAGAGTGCTTTATTGTTCGTTGCTGAAATCCATCTTTCCATCTTACGAAAACATGCTTAAAATAGGAAGGTATTGAAAAATAAATCAAGATGAATCAAAATCCAATACGACTTTCTAGAAGCTATTTCCAATATACCTTCAAATGCAACAGATATTTTAATTTTTCTATGGTTGAAGTTTTGACAAGCTGACAACTGAGATGACATTTCGATACGAGCGCCATCCCGTTATTTGGAGTGGTACTAAATTACCTTCCTCATGTTTTTCCATTTGAGTTACCAGCCCCTGATCTAAACCTTCCGATGGGCAAACACGTTCAAGCGATTTTTGACTTATCCAAATTCACTAGCGTCATCTATTGGCAGTATCCATTTGTGTCCAATTATACTTCCATAAGGTGATACTACTAGTAGTTCTTTATGCAATGGTATTGGCCACTGTTACATGACACACCCTGTATAAAAAGTTTTTGTTAAATAAAAATGCACAACTAAAAATACCAATCGACTTATCCGATCGTTTTTCCGAACACGACCCCATTTATTTATTTCCGAATTTATTCCATTTGGCTGTTCCACACTGTATGTATAATGTAATAATATATATTTATAGAAATAAACACATATTACGTGATATTGAACATAATTATAATACAAGAACAAAAAGTAGTTCTAATGTATAAACTATAAGATCAAAGATGTAATTATTATATTGCAGCAAAATTGTACAACTATTTAACTATTTGCCTGAAATGTACAAGACATATCTAAACATTATTAACTCGTTAAATTTTATTAAAAGTGTGTAAGCGGTTTCTATTAAATACGAATTGAGAAGCAATTAATAAACTAATTGATTAAAGTACAAAAAAATACAGTGTATTGTGTATTTATGTTTTGCCTTTTAGGATAGGTTAGGTACTAAAATAAACAAAATATTTATTTTTTATTGCGCAACACTAAGTTTTTATTCACGAGTGGACAATGTTTTTTAATCAATAAATTTTATTTCCAATGATTTAAAAGCTAGACCCTGGTAAATTTTTTGGAAACAAAATTATTCTGTTCGACTTCGTCGCAAGAAAATAAAATGCCATGCAAACAAAAAGTAAATGGTATGACTAATTCACTTTAAATCCAAATAATTGTTTGCCTTTTTCCGACTTAAACGGTGAATGTAATACAACCGGGAGCTCTGACTTGAGTGTGGAACTGACAGCTGGCAATGTGGCACCCAAATTAAATAAACACACCCTCGTTTTCAAATCGAATTGATTTCTCTTTCAGCCGACAATAATTGTCTACGGAAATCACATAATATGCCACCGATTATATGTTTTGGTCGATGTATATAGAAAGGATATGAATAGATTATTCTTAAATCACTTTAATATTCAGCATGCATGAGAGTCGGAGCACTTGCTTAATTACGTTAGGAGATTCAAGAAAATTGTTAATTTAAATAAAGTTACTTTTTAGCAAATTTAAGCAGTTTTAAACGTATATTTTTAAGGGTTTGTGTAATTTTCTATTCGAAGCCATAACTTTACGAGTTTCATATTAAAAATAGGTTCCATAAGTTTAAAATTTTGGACATAATGAATTCAGTTGATTAATTATTTAAAAACTATAGTTCTTGTAGTTGATAATATTGTCCCGAAGTATTAAAAAAGTTATCGATAAAAGTTTGTAGTGATGGGCAAAACAAGACCAAGACCAAGACCGGGTTGGTCTTGGTCTTGCACAGCTAGGTCTTGGTCTTGCGAGTCTTGCATTTTTTGGTAAATCTTAAATACTGCTACTTTGTACACAAAAAACGTGTTATTGTTCTGTGAATTATAGTATTTTTACAACATTTTCCAGCACCGAAAAGAGTTTTTATGATATCACCTAAGTGTTTTTTATTTGTAGTTAATATTGAAACACCCTGTATAAATTATTGCCATTAGAGGCTTAATGCACATTATAAAATCAGGAACTAATACGCAAACAGTAAATATAGTTATCTTCTAAAGCTTGTGGTCTGTAATTGTAAATAAACCACATATATATTTTATTCAAACCTTTTATATTAAACGTTTCCAATATTATTTTTTTGTTTTTAAATGTAAACTTAATGTACAGCATGTAAAAAGCTGTAAACAGTTTTTATATGCTGTACACTTGAGTACGAAAAAAGAATAAAAGCTTAATTTTTTCTAAACGTAGTATATGAAAAAAAAAAAAAAACGGTAAATAAAATATGTGGCTCAATTCCCAACAATTGGATATATATTTATTTATAATTAACATATTTTGTGTATTCTCTTATTTGAAATATTTTTTTTTGCATGTCCTACAATCCAATAAAAAACAAAAATTGTATCCTTAAATCAACAAAAAATGTGACCGATAATTGACCCTGGATCTTCCAGATGTATGGGATTAAAATAAAAAGTATAGATGCATAGCATACTGGCATAAAATACTGGGTCAAAACAACTTAAACATATGGACATTAAAAAAAAACAACAATGATTAAATGTTGTCGATATTAAACAAAAACTATGTAATATCAAATGTATTTTCGTAACACAAAAATTAAAAATTAAAAATAGGAAAAAATAGGCTAAATTATGTAGTGAACAAGTGATAGATTATTTTATTGCTGTTGCCAAGAATAAATGCAAAGAAGCCAACGGGCATATTCATTGTTTAGTCAATAACGATGTTTGCGTATCACTAATACTGCTTTTGAAAAAAGACTTTCGGCAGGAACCGAAGTTGCTGGAATGGACAGAAAATCACGGGCCATTTTCGCTAAGAGAGGAAATTGGAACTGATGACGTTTTCACCATTCTAAAATATTTTTGTTGCTTACTACTCTAGGCTGACTAAGATAATCGTCTACTTCTTTTCTTTGGTTTTGGTAGCCAGATCCAGATATACCAGAGACGGATGAAGTACCTGGTGCAGAATAGAGCTTGTTGAAATCTATAATATCGTTATCGTCACTTAATTTGAAGTCGATTTTCTCTTTTGTTAACGATTCTATCACTATCTCCTGGCTACAGTAAACATCTAATATTGACTCAAACGTCTTTAAAGTTTGTACTTTTAACTCAGCTCCCCAAACAGTTAAATCGAAAGTTTCTGCTTTATGTCTGGGATCCAGTATTAGAGTGGAGCAGTAAATCCAGTTTGTCTTCTGATAATGCTTTATAATTTTATCACGATCAGCCTGAAAACCAAAAATATCTCGCATTGAACAAACAAACGGCTTTAAATGTATATTTAATAATTTAAACATTTCTAAAGACACACCCTATATATCGAATGTTTATATACTTACCTTTTATTTTCAGGCACCAATTAAAGAACGCAATACCGCAAGAGTCTTGGTCTCGCGTAAGTCTTGTACCACTTGGTCTTGGTCTTGCACACTCGGTCTTGGTCTTGGTCTTGCAAGCCTTTAGCTGGTCTTAGTCTTGGGCTTGCAAAAAAGCAAGACTAAGACCAAGACCGCAAGACCAAGACCAGTCTTGCTCATCACTAAAAGTTTGTAGTTTACTTTTTACTTGTGTTGTTAACCGATTCTAACATTCTGTCAGCAAAAACAGCTTCATTTTACTGAGATATTTTCTGTAGGAAGTGCAGTTGGTATCAAATTTCTGTCAGTTTTAGATGAGAAATTAACAACCTCTATTGCAAAGATATTTCAAAGCCATCCCTTGTAAAATGTATCAAACAAATACGAGCTAAAAAGTTTTACAAGATATTAGAAAAAAATATTATTCAAATTAAATAAAAACACACCAATTCTTCAAATTATATACATCGTCCCTCCCGCAAGCGTTAACCTTTGCTTTCACCATATCTATTTTGAAAAAATAAAAATACTTTTTCGATTCCCTTTGTTATTTAAAAATTTACTGCTAAATACTGCTCATCCTGGCATTTTGTTAAAAACCACTAGATTTTAATAATATACCAATATTTTTTTCTACTTTTGACTAAAATTTTACTAAAATTATGTTTTGGTTAAACGTTATTGACTTTAGGCAACCAATATTACTTTCTTGTATAGTTAGTTGCATATTTATCATTTTATTGACAATTAGAATCACGATTAGAATATCATTATTAATTATTTATTCTCAACGACTTGCAGTGTGTTTATATTGTTTATTAAAGTAATTCAGTTTTTAAAAAAGTGGGTTATTTTGTCGTGTATTGTATTTTAATTATTTTGTGATAATTTAGAATAGAAAATAGGGAATAAAACAACATTACTACTAGATTGTAAGTTTGAATCAATTATATTTTTGTAAGTCAACATGTCCTTCTTTGATGTAAACTTTTAATAAAATGTATATTATTGATTTATAACCAAAAAAGGTTCATTTTTGTTTTTCTTTCGCAACTGGTGATATACTGAATTTTTCGAAACCAATTTCATAATATTCAACATTATGCAACTGATTGCGTAAAGATCATGTTAACACTTGCTGCGATTACAAACAATGTCACTTTATATTTCAAGAAAAAACTATTTTTTCTACACCCATATGGATATTACAAAACGAAAAAGTATGCTATTGCCATGGGCGTCGTTACACAATTCTATAAGGAGGGGCAAAATTTTGAAAAAAATTTAGAATATTTATTTGTTGGAAAAAAAGAAAATGAAAAATAAAAGAGAATTTCCTTATGATGCATTTAATTATTCTGTGACGTCATGGCTTACTTCAAGTTTTTTCAGAAATAACAGAAAATCGCAATTTATTTTTAATTTTTAAATGAAAAGCCTTTTTCTTATTGAAAATTTGAATTTCTGGGACATTTTTGTATGAGAAAAAATATTTTCCAATATGATGTTCATTTTGACAGCTGACAGAAAATTTTCGACACATGATTCTAATCCATGAATTCCCTAAAATTCAAAATTTCAATAAAAACGGGGGGTTCTATTTAAAAATTAAAAATAAATTCAGAATTTCTGTTATTTCCGATAAAACAGAAGTAAGCCATGAAGTCACACACTAATTGAATCCAGTATATGAGAGTATTTGTCCCAAGCTTTTAAACAAATAAATTTTTATTCCAATATCTCAATTAACAACGAAGATGTAATTATTAAACTGTTTGCTAATAATAAAAATGCTTAGATACGCCACTGGTATACGGTAAATGGGTCTTAATGGGAATTTTAAAGCCTAAAAAGATTTTATGAAGTTCGTACATTCCTATATGTTTTTCCAAAAACGAATTAATAGTAACAAATTTAAATAGTAAAAATATCCAATATGGCGGCCATTTTGACAGCTGACAGAAAATTGTCAATACAGGATTATTATACAAAAATGTCCCAGAAATTTAAATTTACAATAAAAAAAAGGATTTCCGTTTTAAAATTAAAAAAAAAAAATCAATTTTCTATTATTTCCGGAAAAACCGGAAGTAAGCAATGACGTCACAGAACAATTGAATCCATCATAAGAAAGTATTTCTTCTAGTCTTTCAAACAAAATTATTCCGATATCTCACTGAATAGCGAAGATAAGGAGGAGTGGAACTTTAGTAGTAACCCTAACAATGTCACTGACCTATTAGACAAAACTAATACTTAAGTTGTCATAACAAGTCTCTATTAAATAAAATAACCCAACAAAAAAGACAAAAACTAAAATAAAGAAAAACAAGAAACTTAAAACACATTTTTAAAAAACAAACAGAAGGTGTGATATAAAAGAAAAATATCAACCTGAAGACACAGCCATACATAATAATATAAAAAATAAAAATTTTAAAAATACAAAAACATAAAAAAACTCACTCAAACACGATGATGAACATAAATAAAAACACTAGGAAAACGCAAATTTTAAATTTCTTTTTTCTCTACTAAAAACATCGATAACAGAAAACATAATTTATTTTTCAGTCAGCCTATTTCCATTCATTATTCGCTTCGTGAGTGATAGCAGCGCCAACTATTTTATGAACTAATGGACGATATTTGCATATACTGACAATATAATTTTTAATATAGTTCGTAATTAAAAATATATGTTAATTTTAATAAAAGTATATGGATTTGTAAAACATTTGAAAAAATTATAATTATTATATAATTTTATTACTTCAGCTAAAACAAAGAAGTATAATCAATAAAAATCAATAATAAAGCATAGGCAGCTATTTACGAGAAAATATATGAGATCTTGTCTAAGACTAATAAGTTGTCATTGAAGAATAGGTTAAATAATGTTAAAATAAAAACATAACCATTATATAATAACGTAGAATTAAAACGTATTAACAAAAATAATTGGTATATTTGTGATTGTAATTTATATTTGCTTCATTTATAGTTCGAAAGAACCCATAGAAATGAATAATTAAAACTGGTTTCCTATCAATAAGTTACAAAATTGCATTTCAGCCAAAGGCAGAAATCTAATCATTTGCTAAACATTTAATATTTAAGGGATGTTGAAGAATATCATAAAATAATCATTTATTGTTTATTTGAAACCTTTTCTGATGTCTATTATTTCCAGTATTACTGTTATTATTACAAAAATAAAGGTTTTTTATTTTACTTATTATACAGCTGTCCATTTATTTCTTTGATTTAATTTCGATTTTGCTACTGAAAATTTATATAATTTACAGTTTTTTTTGCTGGTATAATTTGTTGCAAACTCCGGTTGCTCATTTTATTGTTTTTAACCTATTTTTTTAGTAAACAGTAAAATGTATAGGTGTATTTGATACGCGAAAATTACAAAATATCGCCCTAAAGTACTCGAATTATCCGCAGCTTGCGCTAGTATCGCTTTTGCTTCCCCTACCATGACTTCGCACTGATCGAATAGATCGCAGCCATGTTTTAACATGCCTTAGCATGCTAAACGTTCTTTCGATTAACTCTGTCGTTGGTGGAAGAGCCATAAATACTTTTTAAACCACTTTGTATGTCTGGATAAAATTCACAATGTTTGGACGCTATATCATTAATGGAGAGCTCATTGTGTGCAGAAAGCTCTTTTGAAAAATATGGATGATCAATCTATATAACTATCTACATCATTGGCCCCTTTCAAATCCAGCAGGTCCATAGAGTTGCCTATGAACACTAGAGATAGAGTTGCCATATCAATGCCCACAGGCAACCATTTTGTTTGGAATGCCTTATAATAAAAGTACTTATTCACAGTATGTTTTACAATTAATACATTTAATTAAATTATTAGTAACTAAGGAAGAACAATAACTTCGATGTATGAAAATTTGTCTAATTCTTTGAACATTAACTATTTCCAGCTTTTCTTTCAATAAAAATGTTATTTTTTATAAACGTTAATAAATTTAGATTTTTTAACTTACTATTTGTTTTATTTTCAATCGAATTTAGCAATTTCGTGAGAAAAACGACCCCTTAGAGATGTGGTATTAAATGAAATATTAGGTAAAAGCCTTCGTTCCGTACTATACATATATAACGTCAAAATAATAAACTATCTAACCACAACTATTGATGGCCCTTCTGGGAAATCTCGTTTATGGAAAATTTCATTTCTAGGCGAATCAATGACGATCCGTCGTTCTAGGAATTATCCTTCAAGGATAAAAGCCGAAATCAAATTGAAAAATAATCAATACACGATTATTTCCTACTTTATTATTTATAATAACAGGATTTTTACGAATCTGATTATTGCTGAACTTGCGTGTCAACATTTTTTATCAATTTTATAAAATGCATAATAAATGAAAATTTATTTAATTTTTTTGAGTAGATAATTAAAGATTATTATTATTTACATTAATTCTAAATAATACGAAACTATTTAAATAAAAAATTAACTTCATATTTAGGCGTTTAATAAAATTACAATATGTCAAGCAAATTATTATCAAAAGGAATTTAAATTTCCAAAGTAGAATTAAATATATTGCCTACTCTCATAAAATAAAAGTGAAACATATCCAGTATCTGCTTTACACTGTGGAACGACAAAATTACAATCTCCAAAGCAACATGAAAGCTTTATTTCAAGACTACAGTGATCATAACTATTTAATTAATTTTTTTAAAAGATATACAATTATTAATTATCATCTATTCTTAATTACCCTAAAATGTTGATGCAGCATTGTAATATTAATAAAAAAATATATTCATAAATCATAAATGTGTAAAGTGTGAACACCTGTTTTATTGTGCTCCCGTTAAAAGTCGATTTATCTAGTGTTCCA